AATCCCCCCCCGCGGGGTCTCCCCCGGGGGGCACAACAAAGCGTGGGGGGGGGGGGGGGGGAACTGTTCTATAAGGTTTACTTACAGTTGGCATTCAGTAGCTGTGGTTCTAAAGCCCCATTGAACATTGAAGAGGATTTTTCAGAACTCTGGTATTGACAGTTTGACGTTTAATACCCATGTGTTCAATAACATTAACTACTTGTCTTTCACACACCTGGGGTTGCATCTCAGGAATAATTTTAATAATATTATGTTAGCAAAAATAATACTGTGTGATGGTAGCTTCTTCTGAATTTTTTTATTTGCTGGATAAAATTGTTGTGGAAAGCTGTATTAGCTTACCAGTATGCCAAAGTATCTAATTTCACATTTTTCTGGGGGCTCTTCTGTAAATATGAAATTTACCCTGAAGCTGAGAGATGAAAAATGGCTACTAAGAATACTTTCAAATAATATTTTGACTTAATAATAAAAAAGAAAATAAAATCATTAAAATGATAAGTAAAACTAACAGTTGTACAAAGTAACATAACTTAAATATTGCACTCTGTTTCATCTTGCAGTTGATTCAGATAGGTGAGGGTAAGTGGTCTAGATTTCATTTTAATTAATTTCTTTCTGGTTCTTCTGGCTTAGTGAGATGAATTAGGATAGCAAATATGTTTTGGGGGAAAAATATGCAGAAATTGTTTTTAAAGTCACATGAATGATTCTTTGTGCTTTTAGTAAAAATAAATGTAAGGGTTAAAAAAATCTTGCAATGTTCTAACAGTTCTTTTTGTTTTGCTATATCAGCACTTTACTTCTGATATAATCTTTGTTAATTATTAAAAATGCAAAAATATCTTGCTCTCAGTACTTCTTGTCCAAGTAATCTCAACTCATCTTTCCTAATGCTAGATGCAGACAACATACGTATTGCAAAGTCTCCATTTGAAAATTCCTGAAATATCAAATGACACCAACTCTATTCATACGGTAAGCAGGGCGAAACAAGTGAAAAGTATGTTTTCTTTAGTTGAAATGCAAAATAGGTAAGTATTGTACAAAAACTCCAGGAAGTTAAGGTAGAGACTACAGGGAATCGAGGGCCACAGACATTGGGCATTTAGAAGCATGATGCATAATACAGAGATTTTGGCATACCTACCGGTATATGGAGTTCACACCATCCTGTTTCGAATGTATTAAGATAACTTTCACTGCTTTAATTAAGAGTGTCTTTATCCTTCAGTGGACAAAGTATGATCTTTGAAGAAAGCTTATAAATCTATATGCCCTAAGTTTTCGAAGTTGTAAGTAGTACAGAAGCATTCCTACAAACTCAGGAATACCCATACTTAACTGAAACATTAGTATTTGCAAATTTGGAATCTGGGATAGATTTGCAACTTTATACTGCTTAATCAATATTCACTTTACCTTGAATCAGTTTAGCATGTTGAAGGAAGTCGTTCAATCAATATTTTTCAAGAAAGGCTGGCATCGTGTAATTGCAGAGATGGTACTGAGGAGTAAAAACAAAAAGTATGAATGTAAGTTATTACCAGGCTTACTAAATGTTCTTTTAAAATTAAGTTTCTTCTGTTTAATTTGAAATTAATATCAATAAGACAGAATGGCTTTAGTCTTTTTTTTACAGTTCAAAAATAAAAAATGCTTGTACTTAATTTTTCTTTGAACTTGCTTGAAAACTGAGCTGCTTCTGAATCACAGCTGAAGGCTTAATGGAAGTTAGTGATATTGGCTAAGACAGACCTCTAAAGCAACCAAATGCTAGTTACTTACTTTTACACAGTTAAAAAAAACTAAAGAAAGAGTAGTCTGAGACTTTTACAGTTAAATCTATGCCATCTACAAAAGGATCTAAAGCAAATTTCCTTAACCGAGTTCACAGTTTGTGTTTTTTTGTTTGTTTTTTTTTTTTTGCATAGCTTTTGGGCATGGAAAGCCATTGCCACTTTCATTTCAAGGTTCAGTTTTGTGGTGTTTGAGTTGCATGTTCATTTAAAAATAAGATATTTTCTTATTCAAAAATTCTAAGTAGTCTGAGGCTTCTGTTTTAGTTGCATCAATTTTAATTGTGGACTACATTTGAGGTGGTTGTTTTTGTAGCATATACCTAATTCTACTTTAATACAGGTTAGTAAATTTAAATTTTGATATGTAACCTCTTTTGCTCTTCTCTTTGAGCTTTTCACATTTCTTTATTGCTCACATATGAGAGGGGACTCTTAGTTGTTTTTCTGTTATTATAAACCACATGACCGTCTTGTTAGAACATTGTCATTGTTGGACTAGAGAAGTGAATTTTCTTTCTTCTAGCAAAGAGCACACAGGACTTCAGAGTCCCATTGTCAGTCTGAATATTAAAAATAAAAATATTGTCAGTCTGAATATTTATTGTGTAGAAATGAACTTGGAGCTTTGGTTATCAAACTGAGCTTTCCTCACCGCCTTTTTGGGTGTTAGAATTGTTTTCAAGTTGTAAGTAGAGCGTTACGTTTAATTAAATTAGTTAAAAAAAAAAAAGGCTTGCTTTGTTTTGTTTTGCTGAAAAGACTCTACCACTCATGCCATGTAGCCACTTTTTCGAACTTAAAAGTGTGGCTTTAAAAGTTAGTTACCTGTTTTTAGTGTTTACTTACAGTATGCGGAATTTGAGGCAAGGATAATGGGACAATGATCCTAGTCTGTCTTGATACTTCTAAATAACGACTTTCTATCTTGCGTAACAGTGACTGGCTCCTTTTTCTGTAGTGCATCAGTTTGGTGGTGTTCTTGTTTTATTTTGAAATACTTTGCTGTGATCTAACAGCATAAGTCAAATAAGTTAATTTGATTTTTGCTATCATCTTCCTTGGTATGTGGTCTGCCTGAAGGATGCTGACCTGCAATCTACATTATGTAGGTAGTATCTTTGAAAGCAATTCTAGCTACTTTGGTTTCTCCGAAGTGATTTGAGGTAACTAAGAAAAGGGGCGGTAATATAACGTTTTACATGAGCAGCATTGTACCTCATCAGGTCTAGGTTTTCCTTAAGCTCTTCTACGCACCTCTGCCCAATACTAATAAAGGCATATTTTCTCTTGAAATGAAAAGAGTGAAATATGTGTATGCCCTTTTAATTTGCAGGCTCCTAATAGAATAGAAAATGGAAAAGCATACATTTTAAACAAAAAAAAAAAAACAAACCACAAGTGATTGATTGTATGAAATACAGCAGTGCCAGAGGCATTTGGTATTTCTCTTCTTTCCTATCAAATTCAGCAATGACAAAAAATTCCTACATCCTTGACTCTAATTACACAAATCAGTCTTTGTACGAACTGTACACAGGTTAATGCTGGTGTGATATTTGAAGCCAACAAAAAGGTGAATGGGAGAGGGAGGGAAATTGACAATTTTAAAGTTTTGCTAAATATTTCAAAATAAGCAAGAATTTGACTTGCTCGGCAGAATTCATTGTGCATTTTTCAAGGTACGTGAAGAGTGCTAAGCAATGTATGTAATCTTATGTATCAAACTGCTGAATATTTTCACATAGCCAAACCAGCTTATTATTTAATTTTCAAATCCATGATCTTGAAATGCCTGGGAAGCATTAAGGAGAGGTTAGGATGAATTCAGTTTTACCATCATCATCATCATAACTTCTTAGGGTTGGCAAACTATGAACCAGAAAGCATTTGCCTGGGTCCTTTGGAGAACTGCAATGACAACTGTAATGCAGAGCAAGAAAGCAATAGTATTTTTAATGACTGTTGTTACAACACGTCTGCATGCAGAGTGCTACAAATGCGCCAGATACATAGGCTAATGCTAGGTGGAGATTTTGACAAAGCCTAATACGGACATGGCTTGGTGTCACTAAGACTTGGTGCTCGTGGTGCAAACTCCTGTGAAGGTGCAAACTCCTGCTCTGATTATGAAGAACTAAGGTTCACGTTTTGCTAACTCTTGTTTTTGTAGTTTGTCATCATCTCTAACCTTGAGTTTCCACACACAGAGGAAGTTTAGCATCAAAACCTCAATCTGCATCTGAAACACACTAGATCAAGCACTGCTTGTCTTTTGGGTCAGTCAGTGCAATGCATAGTACAGCATCACACTGTTCTAAATGCCATTTTAAAAAATATCCCCAAACCAGAACATTTTTATAAATCGTCTTGTACTGTCTTGTTCTGTTAGCTCAGAACAGGTGCTAAATATTAAGCTGGGTAGAAATTGTCTCATTCATACAGACAGGAATCTTATTGTCAATTACTGAATCTTGCAAATGAGAAAGGATGCATGTATTACACAATACTCTTTGTTCATTTGCCAAGTGTAAATTAATTTTAATTAAATTTTGTATTACATTAGTAAAATTCTGTTTCTACTGTTCTGTGGTGTGTTTCTGAAAGTTCTAAGCCTAATAATAGAAGATCTACAGAACCTGGCTATTAAATATTTTTCATGACTGAAGTAGGAAAAAAAGTTTAATTCTGTCAGACTAGAGTGTATCACTGGGACCCCAATAGTAGGGACTCTCTAATTGCATTAAATCACCTCCTGACCTGTGTGCCATTAATATTGACTTAAATGCTTTTAAAAATGTATCTTGGGATGTATTCATTTAAATAATCTGCACAATTTTGTTTACTAGATTTGAGTGGCACAATCAATCATTCCTCAGACAAGTGTTCTATGACTAAATAAATTTTTCCAGCAGAAAAGCTCCCTAAGGACAGTGATTTTTTCTATTAAACATATTTCAGAGTGTATGCAGAAAAACTCACGTTGCGATAATGCTAATGGCCATCTCACCTTTCAAAAGGAATTCATATAGTTTTAGTTAGATTAGTTAACAAAAATTAATTCAGACTAAGGACCTAAAATATGAGCCCTCTGAAATTTAAAATAAAAAAAAAAAGTCCTTGGCAAAACATCTTTGCTGAGTTCTACATTTTGTTTTCTCAGAGTACTCTCTTCATCTGCCCAGTAGTTTCTTATTCCTCATTTTGCTTGGAACTATGTGCAGTATCATTCGCTTTTGTGTAAAGAACCGTTTTGCTCTGAACACTTGATGTTCTTCAGTTCCAGCTGAAGGCTCCTACATCCCCACCCCACCTCCCCCAGCCCCCCCAAACAAACCCACAACACCCACCTCGGCACAGCTGGAGATGCATCTTGAAAGTGAGAATATGCAATACTGTTGGAGTTACTATGGTGAGGAATCATTTGTGCTTCTGAGCTAACGGAATTATGAACTGCCAAATGAAATGAAAACCTGAATAGCTGAGTGTTTGTTTTCTTCAGCTTTTACACACTCTTATTTTTCTTTTCCCAGTGTCTATCAGTGCACTGTGGTTTGTTTTGGATCTCAGTGTTTCATGGAAAATATTTTTTCCTTTGTTAAATAATAGTAAAAATCAACCGTTAAGTATGAAATTGCTAACTTAAGTCATCTATCCTTTCAGTTTCCAGCAGCCTGGTTGACTATGTTTGATGCAGTGCTTATTCTGATCTTAATACCCTTAAAAGATAAATTGGTGGACCCCATTTTAAAGAGGAATGGCTTGCTCCCGTCCTCACTGAAGAGGATTGCGGTTGGAATGTTCTTTGTAATGTGTTCTGCGTTTGCTGCAGGTAAGAAAACAACTTTGAGATCTACTTACGTAGCTATTTAGTCAGCTACTCGCAACAGCATTTTTAAAAAACCTTCATGAATCTTTTATTCAAGATTATTCAGAAGTCTTTTTCATGGGATAGTTAGAATGCAACTGCATGGATGCATTTCCCACAATGAAAGAGATTTTATCCAAAAACTTACTGAACTGTTTTGAACATTTGCAATAAAATTGGACCATTTTTCCTGCCTGAAATAGACTTCAAGTATACCTTGTAAAACCAACTTGTTAGTTCAGGTTTTCACATAAAGTGTTACTTTCTAGTATGCTTGGTAGAGGACTGTTTGTTTTCTGACCATATTTTCTCAACAAATGCCTTAGCTTCATGATCAGGGTTTGGGTTGCCTAAACAAAGTGTCCAGCATTTGGATATAAGGCTGTTAGTCCTTCTAAAATAATCTCTATAGCATTGTGGAAGTCCATGTTGTCTGATTCATTAACCATTTCTTTCAAAGTTGAAAATGTATTTATCCTGAAAAACAAATTAGTTCAGTAATAAATATGTTCCTTCATATAGTCTGACTTCCAAGTATTAAAGTGAAATTTTACCTAAAACTCTT